GGAGGGAGCGGCCCGCCGAGCGAGGACTGGCGACAAAGGCGGCGGGAGACGGGCCCCGGCGCACCAGGCGGGCGGCCCAGCTGCCCCGCCGCAGCCACCTGCTCCCGCGCCCCCGGCCCTGATCGATACCAAATAGCCGGAGCCCGGAAATGGACCCGGGCCGTCCAGTACGGAGGGAGAGAGGAGACAGAAAGGCGGGCGGGCGGGCCTGGGTGGGGAGGGGGAGGGGAGCGGCAGGTCTGTAACCGCAAGTGCCAGTGGCTGGCGAGCTAAGATCGGCTCCCGCGGCCGCCTCCCTGCTGTCTCCTTTGTGCCGTGTGACGCGCCTGAGGCTGGGGCCCCGCTGTGCCCCCGCCCCCGGCCCTGCCTCCCTCCCAAGGGAGGGTCGCGTCTTTCGGTGGAGACTTTGTGTCCTGAATGCCACAACAGAAAGGCCACAGGGGTCGCCCAGAACACAATCGTTCTGTCAGCGGTGTAGTCAGCATTCTGTGCTCTGGCTCTGGGGCTGAGATTTCCACAGGGTGCTTCTGTCTGCTTGGATCTCTCGGGCCCTCTTTGCCTCCCGGGATTAAAGGAAAACTAGTATATGGGCACAAAAACACCTCTAAGACAACGTACAGAACTAGAGAGCAGCTGATAAAAATCTGGGCCAGTTTAGAGAAGTGAGTGTTTACAACCAGCTAGGGGAACTGAGTCATTCATTCATCAAAAACGCATGAATGTCTACCAAGTGGGATGTTAGGTACTGGGGGTGATAAAAACGTGTGTCAGACAGATCTCTCTTATGGCATCTCACACATTAGACTATAATTGTGACACTTTTATCTCCCCGAAATAGACAACATCTCCTGTCTGCATCTCCTAGCAACAGAATTCTCCCGCCCTTTGGGAAACCCTCCTTAGGAGTGAGTGGGCTCCTCTCCCAAGCTTGTGCAATCATAGAACCTCTGCTCTCTGCCACCACCACTCTTCCTTCCTCCTCCACCCACACATGTTCATTTAAGGATGGGTGTGTGACCAAGACAGAATACTTCCCTAGGATTATTACATTAAAAAGGATAGATGAGCGTTCGATTTCCTGTGGGGAAGCTTTGGCGGCACTAGCAGACTATGAAGCCAAACTGAAGACAGAAGCAAAGATAAAGAGAAGTGAAGAGGGCATATTCTGATGTTAACACAATAGCAAACAAGGAGGTCCGGGAGCAGCTGGGGTTCCTGCAGCTCCTGGATTCTGGGATCTACTCCCATCCTCTCAGTTTAAACTGGTAATTTTACTATCTTAAGCTAGTAAAAATTGATTTTTTTTGTCACTCACAGCTCAGAGTCCCAGTATAAGAGGCCACATGGAGGAGGTTTTGTTTGGCCTTGACATTGAAAAAACAGGCAAACTTTAGGCTAGCAAAAATTTAGAAGACTTTCTAGGCCAGAGGGTAGCAAACTATGACCCATAGGCCAAGACCAGGCCACTGGATTTGAATGACTGCTTTTTATGTGTTTAAATGATTACATTTTAAGTGGTTACATAAAGACAACATAATATTTTCAGTTTTGCCTCTTAGGACTCAAAGTGTAAAATATTTACCATTGGACTCTTTTTAGAAAACCTTTGCTGATCTCTGTACTAAGAAAGAACACCCAGTAAGCTCAATGTATGAATAGGAAGGAGGTAATATTAGGTAATTTTATGGGGATTTTTAAGTTCCTTGCCTTCTAGTGACTTTTTTTTAACTTCCCTAGTCATAGAGAATATTTATAATAACAGTATTCTCTGTTTCCCTCCCCAAGTCCATTATCTCCATTTCTCTGTCATGCTCTGCCCTGGGAGGCTGACATAGATACATCACCAGGCTTCCTTGCCTTGTGGCTTCCTGTTGAGTTCGACCAGCTCAAAGCACTGACAGAAAATCAAAAGAAGGGAGAAGAGACATATCAGGTATGTATTACACTCTCCTCCCCCTAATGCTAGGCCAAAATTTTGGCCATACTGTGTCCCTCTGACTACAATGCCTGTCTAGAGACCTCTTTTCCATGCCTCCAGCTCCCGTGGGTCTCGTACTATTTCCTTCCAGTTCCCCTTCCGGCCTAGGATGATAATGGCTTCCCACTGTTGCTAGTTCCCTAACTGTACCCACACCTCTGTAAATAGACCCTTCATTATATTCTTTTCAGTTAAGCCATTTTGAGTGTAGCTTCTGTTTCCTGCCTAGACTCTGACTGATATGGAAAGATATGCCAAAGGGTCACTGCTTTGTTTTCCTTAAAAATATCCTCATTTCTTATCATCTCCATAAGATCATGAGACATACTCATCTATTCATATGATCTCCACTTCCTACTCTCCCATCCTTTCTTGAACCCAGTCCAGTCATGCTCTTTAGCCTCACCACTCCAAAAAAGCCATTTTTATTAACATTAACAATTACATCCATGTTGCCAAATCCAGAGGTCAATTCTCAGCCTTCCTCTTATTGACTAATTTTTACCATGTAATGGATATGATCCTACCTGCCCTCTTGGAAAACATTTTTGGTTTTGTTTTATTTTTGTATTTGGGCTTATCTCATTTGTTTCCCAAGACAATTCTACACCACTGGCCACATTGTTGAAAAATGACTTAAGTCAATGAAAGCTCAATTTTTGGGTTCTTTTGGAGAGTAGTAATTTTGGGGTTCTTTTAAAGAGTGATGTCGGCCAGTTATTGGAGGTAGTTATAGGCTAGCAACTCCACCGAAAATCTCCCTACCAGGTTACAAAGAAAGTCTGAAACCAAATTCGTGTGTGTGTGTGTGTGTATATATATATATACATATATATATATACACACATTTATTAGCAAGTACGTACTAAGAAGTCATAATCTTGCTCTGAAAACATGATAAATCCCCAATTCCTTATCCTTTTATGGGCTCTGATTACACGGTCCCTAAAAGACTTGTGCAAACACAGATGTTATTTTGGAATCATGCCTTGGAAACCATTGCAAAAAGTAAAGGCTGAAAGGCTCCCTTGGTTCTTATACCCTATTCAAACAACAGTGAGGAGTTTCTTTAAAATGTTTCAGTCAATCCACATATCTCCACATATTTCAAACACCCCCGATTTTAAACACATTTCTAATATTCATTAAATTATGCCGTAAAATTTCTGTTATTAATCTAAGATTTTGCAAAGTAGCTTTAGTTCTTATTATAATTTCCTTTAGAGTGTAGCCTTCTGGTAAAATTCTAGGTTACAACACCTGCAACTTGTAATCCTAGGTAGGCAACTAACCACCCCTGGAATGTATACCAAAACTAAACACACACACACACACACACACACACACACACACATTCCTATATCACATTCTTTAGGGGTTCCTCCTAATTTCCTAGACCTTTAAATGTTGGAGTGTTTCAGACAGCACTTCAGTTCTCAAACTTCCCCTTCCTAACTGTTCTTATTCTATTGGGTAATTCATTCAGTCTCTTTGCTTTAATTGCTAACTCTTAGGGTAAGTGAAATTGCAAACATGGCACCATTTTGACTGAAAAAATTGACAGTTCATGTGGTTCAACCTAATATTCTGGCAACTCCAAAATTTATGTTTTCAACCCAAACTCTCTCCTGAGTTCCGTATTCATATATCCAACTGCCTACTTTTCATATTCGTTTGAAAGTTTAATTGGCTGTTAAGGACTGAATGTTTGTGTCCCCCGAGATTCATATGTTGAAGTCCTAACCCCCAATGTGATGGTATTTGGAGATGGGGGCTTTGGGAGGTGATTAGGTTTTAATGAGGCCATGAGTGTGAGGTCCCCATGATGGGATTAGTGTCTTTATGAGAAGAGGAATAAAGACCAGAGCGCTCTCTCTGCTATGTGAGGGCACAGACAGAAGAGGGCCATCTGCAAGCCAGGAAAAGACTTCTCACCAGGAATCAAATCTGCTGGCACCTTGATCTTGGAATTCCCAGTCTCCAGAACTGTGAGAAATAAATATCTGTTGCTTAAGCTGCCTGATCCATGTTACTTTGTTCTAGCAGCCCAAGCCAACTAATACATTGGCATTTAAGCATGAATGACTAAAAGTGATCTCTTTGGTACCTCCTACTCCTTCTGTATACTTCATCTCTTTAGAGAACACCTCCACTCACACAATTGCTCAGGTCTAAAATGTTAGTCATCTATTGGCTCCTCTCTTTCCTTCACACCCCACATCTATCCATTAGTGAATTTAGTTAACTCAAGCCTCAAAATATAATTACAATTGGACTACATCTCATTACCAGACTACTACCACCGTAGTCTGAACTCTCATTATTTCTCACTTGGATTTTTATCATGGTCTCCTTTCAGAGTTTCTTGGTTCTGCCCTTGTTCCCCCATAGCAACCAGAGAGACTTACATTTTAAAATGTCGTTCCTTTGTACGTAAACTTTCAATGGCATCTCATCTTAAAAATATAATCCAAAGTGCTTACCGTAATCTACTAGTGTCTTGACCTCACATCTTTCCTCTCATCCTCTCACTCACTGCCCTCCACTCACACGCACCTCCTTGATGTTCCTTGAGTAAGCCATGCATATTCTTGCTTCAGAACCTTTTCACTTAACTGGTCCCTTTTCCTGGAAAGCCTCCCACCTCACCCCACCCTGTACCAGATGACTGCATGACGTGCTCCCCCAATTTCATTCAGGTATCTACTTAAATGCAGCCTTCTCAGAGAGATCTTCCCTGACCTTATCTAAAATAGTAATCCAATCCCTGTCATTCCATATCTTGCACACTCTTTTTTTTTCTCTCCAAGTCGGTTATCCCTGCAGATATTATATGTTTATTTATTATGTCTGCCCAATCTACCAAGAGGATTGCAACACTGTCTATGGATTACTACTGTATCCTCAGTACATATA